GTTTTATCTCTTTCCCCGCATGAGTTCACTTCATACCAGAACGGTCACGTGATTGTCTATCACGTGACTCAAGGGGAGGGTCATAGGTCATCCATTATGTTTACCGAGACGACCTAATCAGGCGGTTACCAGTTATGCAGGCCTCTAAAACCAGCCCCCGTTTGATGAAGCCTGGGACACATAGTTAGCGTTATGTACAGCAATGACATCGGTCTATGTCGAAGATTGTATGTCACCATTCACGGTGACTATTTCAGAACTGTCAGGATGTTAAAAGCATAATTCATTGATGTAACTGACAAAAGGAAATATTTATAGACACCGATAAATCTTAGTGAAGTGTCCCCGTAGGGCTTTTCTAACATACATGTCCAATTTTCGATATATGAAAAACAAGCAAATTGTATGCACGATTTGAGATTTTTCATTTCAAATGAGATTTCAGATATTCGACCATTAACGAAATTGAATGATTTTATACGCCAAATCGGTGGAGGTGTGTTTAGTTCGAACCAATGTCTTTTGCTCATCAAAATGAAATACTAATGTGTGTGTTTTTTCGAGCAACAGTAAGCATTTGAGAGCAAAAATATTTTGGTATGATTTTTTAATGTCTTTAAATGGAATTCTGGTCATTTCTAAGATAGGATGTTCCTGTTATGTAAATCAAACAGTAATTCCTTATTATAGCTATGAAATATACACAGGGTATTTTATATACATGCCTTTCATGTCAAATTGTACGCCTGTGCTTCACAGTATTTCACTGAACGAATTTCATGAAACAAACTAATAATTTTATCTAAGCTATAAATGTAAATATTATACATTATTATTACATGGTTTCCAAATATTTTTAATCATGAAAAAATATCTTGTATGCTAAGATAATAAGGAAAACGTTTACGAATGACACGTAAGCAATAAAAGTCATATGAGAACTTTGGGATTGGTTGAAATGTTGACCTCGTTACAAGCCAAGGCCTCCCATTGGCTGACTTAGGATCTTCAAGTTGATAGGTTTCTTTCATGTCGACACCGACACAGCAAAATAATGTGCTTGTTTATGACAATGTGTATTAATTTATTATTACAGAAATGCCTTGTCCTTACATATCCTTTAGCTGTTGTAATTAATTACTTAATTAAATAAGCATCTCATGTAGCATATAAACGTTTGTATTGTAGTCTGTGCGGGGAAAATCATGCTCTGTGGTGTTAGCTTTACCTTGTGGTAGCTAAGGAATAACTTGAACGTTTCTGAAAACATAATGAATTGTTTTTAAAATCAACTAAGATATCCAATCTGGGTTTTTTCACAAAACATATACCGGGTTGTGTGCTTAATCATTGTGATATTTGTTACAGAAAACGTTTACAAATCAAAACGTCAATAACAATAACAGCAAATATGGCCACCAGATATGATTCATGCATGACCTGTGCACAGTTTATACCGCGAGACTGACAATGAAAGCACATACAACTGTACTTCACGCTCCAGAGTCACATAAACTTGTGATAAAAATCTTTTCTGGCATTTGTAGGATAAATGGGTGTTTTTTTTCTGTCCTACGGGTTTCCACAGTAACATGACATTCAGTGTAATTGCTCTCTGTGGGTTTATGGGTCACAATGGACTCCCAAAGTTAAATACCGCCATTGACCCACATACAGATAGTAATTATTTTTATGACGTGTGTTATGTGGGAATAGTCGGAGTGAGACGACCGATATCGCTGTACCATAAGCTGATAATTCGGGTATCTTAGTAAATTTGGTCCCAGTGTTCTTCCATAGTTTTGTATCGCTCTCGATCAATGTTGATTTTTGTGTGTTTTGGGTTGATTGTTGAAAGGGTTTGTTTTTAGTTTAAGGTGTTTCATATTATTAATAACATTGTTTCTATTTATTAATTTGAGGCATTCCTGATATTTACACAACGCCGGCAGCTGCGGTTGAAGTGGAAACCATGAATTTTGCAATTTATAGATGCAATGGTTGATTGGCGTCATTATAAGCACCACTGTCAAAATGGACTCCTGTTGCTTAGGCAAACATGCACCTTTGTGTTTCCAATTCGTTAATTTGTTCTTAAACTTGCCTTTTGGTAAAATCTATTGCATGTTCTTTTAGTTTTTTAAGTGAAGGAAGTGACTATTGCTCTTTTAAACAAAGATAACAAACTTAATGTTCTGCTTTTTATATGAATATAACCAGCTGTTCGTAAATATTCGAGGACGGTTAAGAGGAGTGGGTAAAATGGTGTTGTTCCTACGAATTAGTTTGTTTGTGGTCTCACATATCCTCCATATATCGACCAGCTTCTTGATAAAGCAAATCAACCTACATCGTTTGAAATAAACTGTTTGGTTAAAAAGTGGCTGACTGATACTTACTCCACACAGTAATTCCGCACACATATTTCGAAGCACTTTAACGGATTGGATATCCATTTGCTCATTTACATTTCTGTGAAAAATGTTATCTCCTGAAATATGGTTCTGTTGTTCATCCATAGTTTTAAATCAGTTTGCATCTAACCGATGTGAAAATATAACTGCCATTTCAAAACTGTATCATTACAATTAAACATACTGTTAAACTGTGTTTTGAATAGGAAAAATGGTCTACATGTACCATTTTCCTTTATTTTCTCATGTTAGCTGAATTGGGCTCTTGGGTTATAGAAAATATGTAATAATGTTAGTAATTTCTATAATTTGGGTCTTTAGATTACTTGAGAAAAAGTATAATTGTTTCGCAGATAACAGTGAGCATAACATACAGAATTGTATCAAATTCGTTTCAGTTTGGCCCTTATCGCCCTCCATACGATAAAGTCGTTGAGAATCCCTGTGTATGGTAGTCAGTAGGGAAATAAGCTCTCTTTCTGTTTACTTTGATATTCACTCCTTTAGCATGGGACAAAAAGCCGTTACATTAGCTGTATTTTAGTGCCTGGATCCACAAACACGATCATGACTGTCTACAACTATTTACAATGAGTGTTTGTTCAGCGGACTGCTGATATAGGCTATTGTATATTCGTTATGATAGACTGTTATGGCGTAGAGTATTATCATAGCGATCTTAAGAGGCATCGTCTGTCATTTATTTCACTTACTGAGAGCATTTCTCTGGTATACCTTTAGACTGATGTCTATATGACTGTTTAATATAAGCATCCACATAACGCAATGATGCATCTGTTTGTTGTAGAGCTGATTGCAGAGTTTTGATATGTCAGTAGTAATACTGAATTAGCTTCTTGTGGTTAAGCCCCTTTACGCAAATTAGAGATATAACTGTTTGTGTAACTGCATTGTTGAATAGTTATTGTTGTAAGAAAAAAGTAGTAAATTGTTATTGAATATTAGTGTATTTTTGTGCGCTGCTTGCGTTAGCATAATCATTTGTTGTGATAAAACTGGATTAAATTATGGAAGGCTGAATTTCTAAACACAATTTCGTTAATTTGGAATTGTTTGGCTTTAATTTACACCTGTATCAAATGAACTCGCGTGTTCTCTGAATTTGGTAAGATAATAGCTAATATCTCTCTGCGATTTCAAAACAATCCTGCTCAAATTAATTCTTATATGTTTTCGACCTTTGACGTGCGATCATTGCCCCAGGCTTTGAGGTCACCAGGCTTATTGCAATCAGGACGTCTACTAGCCACGTTCTACCTTGTGCATATCACTACCTAGGGGTATTCCGTGAGGTAGGGTTGTCTTGCGTTGCCCTGCCCCTGGCTGCTGCCCGGGGGCACTCTATTGTAGGGGTAGCAACTTCGATATAGCCCAGCCTTTTGTCCACGTAGAAACACGACATGTTAATTGCAATTGGGGTGACGCGCCTAGCCCGCGATGTGAAATCGACATCCCAAATAGCAATTACATCGTCGCGCTGATCTGGTGATGAAATTTACATCGAGTTGATGTAGCTGTGTTTGAGACGGATGAAGAAGCTTTAACTTTCAGTGTTTTTTTCTGATGGTAAAAAATTAGTTGCTTTTGTGGACAAAACCGTTTGTGAAAAAATAAAAAAAGTTTTCTTTGACTCAGTGAGCAAGCTGATTTGATTAACGGATTTTGTGGATCTATGCATTTATATAAGATCATGAAAAAATTAGCAGAGTGCAGATAAAAGCTTTTACAGGTGTGATGAGACGAAGGTGCAAATTTTCAAACCTTCTCCTCAATTTGAAGGCCCTAGCTACTCCAAAATGGCGCCTGGGATCTTCCTGTGAGTGTTGACGACAAACAACTGTTTGTTAGTTACACTGCAGGAATCGGGCTTGTATTTACACATTATCCACAATCAGCGTAGTCAAACTTGACTGTTGTTTTAAATTTGTGCAATAATTGTGAACTGGGTCCTAATCCCTCGGGAATTTCGTTCGTCGCATTAGGCCAAGCATAGTCACTTTGAATAGAAAATGGCGGATGTCGCTGGTGGCTGCCAGGTTGTACAGAATGAGTCAATCCGGGGTTGAGTTCAGGGCCAGTTTGCGTTAATAAATATTACGGCAATATATATGTATGCGATAAAACTTATGAGTAACATCTGGCAAGAGATATGTTTGATATTTCGTTGTAATAATTCCCATCATCCACCATCTCTCGATATCGTTATCATGATATGCCATGGATAAATTATGTATCGAACGGCGTGTGTACACACACTGAACGTTCATAATGATAATAAACATATTGACATATTTACAGATGTGTTCCTCACAGGAAATAACAAAGCAATGATAAGATTAAACACAATCGATAGCACACCCAATCGACAATATTCACTATAAATCTTCTTCACACAGACAAAGGAATCGAATTCAAACGAAATAAACAAAACGTCACACTATAAAGCTACAAACAATATTTAGAATGAAACTTAAGATCATAACAAAACAACTTCAGGTTATAATTTCATCATTCTACGGCGATAAACATCATGCGCATATGAAAAAACATTGTGTGTTTACTTACTGGGAATCCTGTTGTGGTCTGTTTTCACAGTCCATGATCAGGGGTCTGTAACGATCGACTTCGAGTATTATTCGATCTTCAGCTTCACATTCCGACCCCCTTGCGTCCTGACCCCCCTCCCTGCCCCTCCCTAGCGTCCCTCCAGCCCGGGGTATGGTCGCCTCCCTCGCCCAGACCAGCCAGCTCTCTCCCCGCCGCTTCTCTTCTCAAACATGGCCGCCGCTGAGGGATTAGCGAGACTCAGGATTTACGTTCCCTCGCTCTGATCTCAACGAATTTTTGCACGTCGGGTAGAAAACGTACACTTATTAGCTTTATTTCGATTGCCATTGCTAAAAACAACACCGTTGCAATGATCACGGGGGGTACTTAGAAATTTCTAGCCGTCATAATTAACATCTTTCTCTATCATTGGACAGTCCTAAGCCGGGGTAAGATTTTGCACGCCAGAAGGAAGTAACGAATAAACTATAGCACTGGGGATACTATAAGAGGTGTTGCCGTGTTGTTGTAAATAGAAATACCTTGCAGGTTTCTGAAGCTATCGCTTCGAGGCAATCTTTTTTCTAAACGCACAGTCCTTAGCAGACGGGTTAATTGCAATCAGGTCGTCTCGAGTTGGTGATCATAGATGGCAAATCAGGAGCTACGGGGGGTGAACTGGATAAGTTTATATATACAGAAACGTTCTTAAAACTTTTAGGGTTGACTTTTAAATCGAAATCGAGCAAATTTATTAATGGAATTGGAAGATTTCGTTTCTGTTACAAATTCTTTTTTCTACGCCGTTCGAGCGGTGATGACATATTTGTCGGTTGGGTGAGATTTTACCTGTATGCAGAGGGCTCGTGGTTTGTTAATGGGACAAACATGGCGGCCATGAATGGGGGAGGGAACGGGAGGGAGGGAGAGAGCGCCTGAGAGTTGATCTAGGCGAGAAGTGATCAGTGAATGAGGAGTAGTCTCGATCTGGGGTAGAGGAGTTGGGCCATCTCTCACCTTACCCGCCCTGACGGAGTCGAGCGCGAGAGGTATACCCACAACATCGCAATCTCTATCTCACCACTGTCACACCACTGGCGACAAGTATTCAGATTGCTGTCTATTTCAATATACCGTTCCTCAATAGCTTCAGGAAAGTTATACACGTGACCTTGTATCGTCAATGATGATGGATAAGCATATATAAATAAATATATATATATATATATCCTTCGTCACATTCGTTGTATATTTCACAATGGATATGAACATAATTATTGAGGACAACTATGTATATTATTGGCTAATGTCATGAATTAATTTTTTTGAATATTTGAATACACACACATTATAGTATAAGTAAATAAATCTGAATTAGAATTTATGAGTGTGAAATATACACTGAAGAAATACATTGACATTCTTTAAATTACCTTAAAACGAATATTGAATACTTTAACTCGAAATATTCGTATTATTTTCTAATTTGCAGTAGTTGTATTTTAAAAAACCCAACAATATCACTAAAAATAAATAATGGAAAAATAAAAATGAATAAAAAAAACGACAAAATAAACTTTACAAATTACGTGCACAACAGAATACATACACAATACTCATAAATAACAGTAGGGGAGGGGCTTGGAAATGAATCACATATGAGGAGAAAATAAATTTACATCTGACGTACATAAAAAATGAACAGTATTTATGTGAAAAGTTTGTAATCCAGACTTTCACCTGTTGTGGCCAGGTATATGCATTTGTCGTAGTTACTTTCTCTCGGAATAAATGTTTATTGCGTCAAGACAGAGGCGTGACGGACAGTTTAATTTAATACAAGCTCGGGAATGAGAAGAAAAATATCAACGAGGTTTGAATTTTAAAACTCCTGAAATTATCCCATGTCTCTTTATGTATTTTTCCAACTTCTTTTGGAGTTGCTTGTTATATTATTACTACACAGACATGCAGAATGCAGAAAAATTAATATGCTCAAAATTCAATGTAACAATATACATTACGATTATATTTACATTGTTTTTAAATTATGTCTTTTACGAAAAAGATTTTTGCTTTATATATACATTGGAAATCTAAAGCAACTTAAAACAGTCAACTAAAATACCATCTGGTAATGATGATGTTGATGTTCGCTGACAACAGACACATAATTGAATTCATGTCTGAATGAAAATAATGTGCTATGTGGTTAATTCAATTTCCGAATGCATCAGTCTTGAGCCGGGATAACCCCACTGATGCCCTGCATCCACAGATAGAGGGGACCGTAAGTGACTATAAGATGCCTAGAGCCGTCACACAGACCTTGAGGTAATTGCATTACTTACCCCACCCGTACCTCCTCCCCCAGTCAACTCATCGCCCCCTACCCCCTCCAAGAAAATGTGAAAAATAGCCTTAATCTATCGGACTTCTTCTATCCATCCATTCCTCCCAGTAAAGGTAGGTTGGGAGATAGGTAGAGGTAGAGGTAGAGGTAGATGAGTGATAGACATAAGGTAGAGGTAGAGGAAGAGATAGGGGTAGGGGTAGAGGTAGAGGTAGAGGTAGAGGTAGAGGTAGAGGTAGAGGTAGGGTTAGGGGTAGAGGTAGAGGTAGAGGTAGATGTAGATGTAGATGTAGAGGTAGGGCTAGAGGTAGGGTTAGAGGTAGAGGTAGAGGTAGAGGTAGGGTTAGGGTTAGGGTTAGGGTTAGGGTTAGAGGTAGAGGTAGAGGAAGTGATAGAGGTAGAGGTAGAGGTAGAGGTAGAGGTAGAGGTAGATGTAGATGTAGAGTTAGGGTTAGGGTTAGAGGCAGAGGTAGAGGTAGAGGTAGGGGTAGAGGTAGGGGTAGAGGTAGAGGTAGAGATAGAGGTAGGGTTAGGGTTAGGGTTAGGGTTTTGGGGTAGAGGTAGGGTAAGGGGTAGAGGTAGAGGTACATGTAGAGGTAGGGTTTGGAGTAGGGGTAGAGGTAAATGTAAAAGCAGAGGTAGAGGTATAGGTAGAGGTAGATGTAGGGTTAGAGGTAGGGTCAGGGTTAGAGGTAGAGGTAGAGGTAGAGATAGAGGTAGAGTAGGGGTAGAGTTAGAGGTAGAGGTAGAGGTAGGGTTATGGGTAGAGGTAGAGGTAGAGGTAAAGGTTGAAGTTGGGTTATGGGTAGAGGTAGAGTTAGGGTTAGGGTTAGGGTTAGGGTTAGGGTTAGGGTTAGGGTTAGGGTTAGAGGTAGAGGTAGAGGTAGAGGTAGAGTTAGAAGTAGAGGATAGATAGATAGATAGATAGATAGATAGATAGATAGATAGATAGATAGATAGATAGATAGATAGATAGATAGAGTTCTTTTTAAAGTAGAGTTAAATAGGGGAAGTGGCCTTGGTAGAGGTGGAGATAGGGCTGGAGATAGAGGTAAAGGTATAGGTAGACGCATAGGTAGAAGTAAGGTTAAGGGTAGAGATAAAGCTAGTTTTAGAGTAGGGGCGATGTAGAGATAGGAGGAGTAGGAGAGTTGATAGAGATAATGGTACGGGTAGAGGCAGGGGAGTAGAGGTAGAGGTAGGGCTAGAGATAGAGGTAGAGGTAGGAGTAGAGATAGGGTTAGTATTAGAGTAGGTTAGAGGTAGGGGTAGAGATAAGGTTAGTTTTAGAGTAGGTTAGAGGTAGGGGTAGAGATAATGATAAGTAGAGTAGGAGTGTAGGAATAGAGGTTAAGGTAGGGCTGGAGATGAGGTTACTTTATAGAGTAGATGTAGAAATACGGGTAGTGGTCGTGGTAAAGGTAGAGAGGGGCTGGGGATAGAGATAGAGGTAGGGGTAAGGCTAAAGGTAGATGTAGGGGTAGAGATAAAGTTAGAGTAGGAGTAGAGGTAGAGGTGGAGGTGGAGGTGGAGGTAGAGGTAGAGGTATGGCATGCGCTTGGGCATGGGCATGGGTAGGGTTTGTTGGTGGGGTAGGGGTAGAAGTAGAGATAGGTAGGGGAACGGTTCGGGGGTAGAGGTCGGGCTGGAGAAGACCTAGACGTATGGAGTCAGGTACGTGTGGAGATGTGGATGGGTGTTGAGTTTGAGTTTTCTTGCTTTTTTAACATTAAAAAGCCAAGATGAACAAAATAGGCAAATGAATCTAGCAATATTTCACATATCAAAACAGAAAGTAAAAATATTTTATGTAAAAAGGATAGGGTTTGGGTATGGTAGGGGCAGGGCATGGAAGAGCAGGATTATGGTTATTGGAAGAAATGGTTAGAGGGAGGGAGCGGGGTACAAAACAAGAAGGGATAGTGTAGGAGTCGAGGAAGGGGTAGAGTTAGGGTAATTGTAGGGGTACAGGATGAAGTAGAGCAGCAGGTAGGGTATAGGAGGATGTATGAGCAGGAGTAGAGGGAGGGTGGTGGGTGGAGGAGGGGGACAGAGTTAGGGTAATGGTAGGGGTACAGGATGAAGTAGAGCAGCAGGTAGGGTATAGGAGGATGTATGAGCAGGAGTAGAGGGAGGGTGGTGGGTGGAGGAGGGGGACAGAGTTAGGGTAATGGTAGGGGTACAGGATGAAGTAGAGCAGCAGGTAGGGTATAGGAGGATGTATGAGCAGGAGTAGAGGGAGGGTGGTGGGTGGAAGAGGGGGACAGAGTTAGGGTAATGGTAGGGGTACAGGATGAAGTAGAGCAGCAGGTAGGGTATAGGAGGATGTATGAGCAGGAGTAGAGGGAGGGTGGTGGGTGAAGGAGGGGGACAGAGTTAGGGTAATGGTAGGGGTACAGGATGAAATAGAGCAGCAGGTAGGGTATAGGAGGATGTATGAGCAGGAGTAGAGGGAGGGTGGTGGGTGGAAGAGGGGGACAGAGTTAGGGTAATGGTAGGGGTACAGGATGAAGTAGAGCAGCAGGTAGGGTATAGGAGGATGTATGAGCAGGAGTAGAGGGAGAGGTGGTGGGTGGAGGAGGGAGGTAGAGTTATGGTAATGGTAGGGGTAGAGGATGAAGAGGACAGAGAAAAACGGGTAAGGGGCGTTGAAGCCGAAGAAGGTGTGGAAGCAGTTCAAGTAAATAGTAGTTTAAGTAGACGTAGCAGCAGGAATTGCTGCAGAAAGAGTAAAAGAAAGACAGCAGAAATTTTGTTTGTTTGTTTTTATCACACTCAGCAATATTCCAGCTATATGGCGGCGGTCTGTAAATAACCGAGTCTGGATCAGACAATCCAGCGATTGACATCATGAGCATCGATCCTCGCAATTGGGATACCATGACATGCATCAACCAAGTCAGCGAGCCTGACCACCCGATCCCGTTAGTAGCCTCTTACGACAAGCATATAGTCATCTTTTACGGCAAGCATGGGTTGCTGAAGACCTATTCTAACCCGGATCGTTACGGATGAATA